AGGTCCCAGTTGACTGGAAGTTAGCAAATGTAACATCCATCTACAAGGGTTGCAATGAGGATCTGGAGAAACTGCAGTGAGGAACTATCGGCCTGCCAGGGAAGGTCATGGAGCAGATCATCGCAAGTGCCATCACATGACACGTGCAGGACAATTGGAGGATTATGCCCAGCCATCGTGGGTTTATGAAAGGAAGGTCCTGATTGACCAACCCTATTAGTGGATCAAGGAAAAGCTGTGGGTGTTGTTTAGCTGGACTTTAGGAAAAGCTTTGATGCCATTTCCCACAGCATTCCCCTGGAGAAAATGGCCATTCATGGATTGGACAGGTGCACTGTTATCTGGATAAAAGACTGGCTGGATGGCCAGGCCTGGAGAGTGGTGGTGGATGGAGTAACATCTGGCTGATGGCCAGTCATAAGTGGTATTCCCCAGGTCTCAGTACAGGGGCCAATCCTATTTAATATAATTATCAAAGAACTGAATGGGGGGATTGGGTGCACCCTCAGTCAGTTTGCAATGATACCAAGTCAGATGGGAGTCTTGATCTACTGGAGGGCAGGAAGGCTCTGCAAAGGGATTTGGACAGGGTGGATGAGTGGGCCAAGGCCAATTGTATAAGGTTCAACAAGGCCAAGTGCCAGGTCCTGCACTTGGGTCAAAACAAGCCCATGCAGCACTACAGGACTGGGGAAGAGCAGCTGTAAAGATACCTGGCAGAAAAGACCTGGGGGTGCTGATCGACAGCTGCTGAAAGTGAGCCAGCAGTGTGCCCAGGTGGTCAAAAGGGTAAATGGCATTCTGGCTTGTATCAGAAATAGTGTGGCCAGCAGGATCACGGCAGCGATGGTTCCCCCGTACTCAGCACTAGTGAGGCCACACCTCAAATCCTGTGACCAGTGCTGGGCCCCTCACTGTGAGAAAGACACTGAGGAGCTGGGGCGTGTCCAGAGAAGGGCAACAAAGCTGTTTAAAAAGTCTGTAGCACAAGTGTTGTGAGCAGCGGCTGAGGGAAGTGGGTCTGTTTAGCCTGGAGAAAAGGACGCTCTCTGCAACTACCCGAAAGCAGGCTCTAGCCAGGTGGGTGTCGGTGTCTTCTACCACGTAATCAGCAATAGCACAAGCTCAAATTGCAACAGGGGAAGTTTAGATTGAATGTTAGGAAAACTTTTTTCACCAAAAGGGGCTTCAAGCTTTGTAACGGGCTGCCCAGGAAAGTGGGTGAGTCACCGTCCCTAGAAGTATTTAGAAGTCGTGTAGATGTGACACTCAGGGACATTGTTTAGTGGTGGACCTGACAATGCTGGGTTAATGGCTGGACTTGATCTTAAAGGTTTTTTCTAACCTAAACAATTCTGTGATTCTATGATGACCAGACTGATTTAGTGTTCACTTCTGTACAATATTAACTTGGCCAACAGCCTACCACTATGATTCATACATTTGGATCAATGGCATTTTGAAATTATTTAATCATTATGTCAGACCTGCTTTCCATAAGAGAAGGTTTATCTGCAGCTACAAATTAGCAGCACTCTCGTTGTGATGGGATGGCAACACTACATGCAAATACTGGTTTCCTACTAGTGGCCTTAGTACACTGTCCCACATTCTGACCCATCTTAGTGTATTCTGGCACACCATGACTTTTTCCTGAAGTATTTTTTTTTAATTGTCAATGCTTAATCTGTGAGTACTGAAACTGAACACTAACAGTCACCTCTCACTGACAATTTTTGTATGTGCTGCAGTTACCATGGTACCAACCTGAGCAGTTGATGTCTAAATATAGGGCAGGATAAAGGATATATCTTTTCAAATACTAATAGAATGAAGTAAAAATTCTCAGAGATTTTAGTGCTTCAGTAACTTGGGGTACTTAAAATACTGGCCACTTTCATAAAACCTAGATTAAAATATTTAAATATCAGTCATAACATATTCAGAATAGTTTATTGGTTTTGATGGAACTGATCTAAAAAGAAAACTAACACATTCTCAAAGAGGAAATTTGTGGGTAATTTACAGCCATATGAGAGAGCATACAGCAAGTCTATCAAAGACCATATATAAAAAAAGCACAAGGGCTTAGATTTGCTGAAAAATGTTGGGTGCAAGAAGCAATATGGAGATACTGTAAGGATTTTCCAAAACTGGACTCTGTTTTTCACAGAATGTCTATGCGGAGTATACTTGGTTCAAGAAAGTGTTTGTAGCGCGTAACATTTATAAGACTTAAACTGACTCATGAAGCATGAGTAAATACTATTAGGACTTCATGAAAACTGAACTGCATGGAGAAGTGTGCTGAGATTGCTTTGTCTATCCTTATGATTTTTAGGAAAACATCAAACAAGGCATCAGTGTCATAACAATTTGAAAGAATATGGTTCTTGCAGCACAAGTCTTCACATTCATTTGTCTGAGTAGGTCACCAGAAGCTCAGCTCTTTCAGTGACAGTGCTGCTCTCTCTCAGGGTGAGCTATAGGGCGCATACTGATGAATTAACAATATTATACACGTTACTTTATCTACCAGTACTCTGATGGTTTCACAGGTGTAAGGCCTTTAGAAAGGCGCAAAGCAACTTTTCAGGTATAAGAAGCTAATTCACTTTTTTACTACCATGTAACTCAGCTCATGAAAATAAAAGGCCTGTTAAATGAGAGAAGAATATCTCCAATCCACTGCAAAGTTCAGTGAATATTTAAACATTTCTATGTATTTCTGCATAGCTAAACTGTTGCTTGTAGCAGCCCTGACATTCTGTGAGACTAACACCATATTTTGATGTGATTTCTAACAGAAACACTGTTCCAGTTCACTAGCTGTTACTGTATAGTCAAGGGGAAAATTATTGCAAGGAAAAGCACATTTTAAAATGTCAGAACAACTGTTAAGATTCAGAATGCAAATTCTGCCTGTTATACTCCAAATCCCCTAAACCACCAAGTGCAGACTCTCTGACTGCAGGGGTGCTCAGCACAATATGTGATTGGGCTGGTGTAGAAAGAGACGTTCTACACTTGAGAGTCTTTTTGGAGATTACTTGTAAAGGGAAGAAAACATTGGGAAATTTCCAAAACATGTCACGAACAAAATGTTGCTGCAGAGGCAGGAGTCTTGCTTGCAGAATCATTTTACAGTTTTCAATTAACCAAATACCTTTAATTTATTTTCACAGAACAAAGAGCGAATCAAGACTTTTATGTGTTTCTCTATTTCTTATCTACAAGCAATTTCTTTTTAGGCCCCTAAAATATTCAAATGCTGATATCTACATTTAGAAATATAAGAATACTGTGTTACATTCACACACTGCTCCTATAAAATGTCAAAGTAATGAAGAGATGGCTGCATGCCAGCTCTGCATCTTACTCTGTAAGACAGAAAAATTCTGAGCCACACTGAAATAGACACAAACACTATAAAAATAACCTCCAGGTTATAAATCTTTGTGGTTCACTTCTGTTTTCTTAGGTAACATTTCTGGATGTGCATTCCTGGTCCCTCTTCATTAAAAGCTGCTAGTCTAGAAATCAGATGGCACGTTTGTGGAACTATGATTTAAGGAGAAATCCAGTAAAATTTGAATTAAACTAACTTTATGAGAACAAAAGGATCACAGGTCTAAAATTCAGTTAAATCGTCTTATCAGTAAACCATAATCTGAATTTCAGAATTAGGGAAAACAAATGTGACTTAATTAAAATTGAGTACCCTTATCCACAAGTATTTAGTCCCTGAAAGATATTTAAACTCTTTATACTTTTCTTATGAATAAGTATTTCAAGTAGGTGAAATCCAGTAAGAGAATACCCGTTTTCAATTCCCACTAAATTGATGAGGCTGGGGGTAATTAAGATCTGAGCTCCTCCTAATCACACATATCATGCCTCTTCTTTGGCTATCAATCTACACTTATTTGCAAGGCTGCATCCTTAAAGAAACTCTCATTTGTTTGGCAGCCAACATCAACAGAAGGAAATAATTTACTACTGCATGTTATTTCTGAAAGGAAGACATGTTAGAATATCATGGCCACAATATTCACTGAGATTTTAAAAAGGTATCAGGGCAAACACACACAAGTAGCACTGTCTCATGTAAAATATGTTCAGCATCTCTGAATGGTTGCAAGACACAGGTGGGTTTTTCTAAACTTAACTATTCCAACCCAAATTTTCTATAACAGATATTTGTTTCAGAATCTTTATTAAATTGTTGCAATCCTCAAATTTTTTTTCAAATAAAGAGCCACAGTAAACACAAATAATTTATTTATTCTATGGTTAAAATATCTTGTGATTTTTTTAGCTGAAAATTTCACTCCCTGTGTCTAGATCTTCCAACAGGGACTAGGTTTTATGTCAAAGACATAAATCTACCCATGTTTCTGCAGCACACTGAGTACCTAAATTCCCTCTAATTTCTGTTTATACTGACAGTGCAACAGGGAAATGCATCTCTGGAAGTTATGTTGTCCTTTGACTGGTCTATGTCTATGAGCTACAAGACTCACGCCTGCATAGTGAAAAAATTACACTCTTAATAGACCTAAGAAAATTATGGAGGGTAGTGTCTGACCGTCTGGAGAGAGACCAAGAGCTAGACTGAGGGGTAGGCAGCAGAAGCCAGGGAAAAGTGCCATAGTCTGAAGAATGGCATGAGAAGAGGTATTAAAAGGAAATTGAGTCTCTTTATGGCTCTATTGTGAAGAAAATATGCAGGAAAACCACTGGCGTGTCACTGAAGGCCTTCAATATTTGCAAAATTGAATCTTAAAGCACTTGATATAATCAATTTATTACTTTTAAGTATTGTTAACATCAGCTATATAAGCATCAGAATTTTCCCACATAAGATAGAGATACTGATACTGATTCAATTGCAGAGGGTTGCAAACTGGACTTTGTAGACTGCCCTACTCCCATTAAGTCCACAGGAATTGGACTGATTTCTAAAAGTGAAAAAATTAATGCAGAAACTGTAAGTATACCTTTCCTTTAGTGAAATTGTCATCTCCTTTTCTGATTAACTTTCTTCTGCCAGTATCTCCTAAAGGCCCTTGCAACATGACATATACATCTGCATCTGTTCCTGACCCAGGTTCCTGACCCGTGGTGATGTAGAGAACATATCTTTTCACTGTGGGGAAAAAGAGATCAACAGTTTACCAAACCTTAATCAGTTAAAAAATATATTATTTAATAAATTACTACTCTTATATTTTAATTTCTCATCCTACCCAGTGTGATCAGAAGACTATATTGTAATGCTTAGAAAAGCATATAGATGCATTGTAATTAGAATTTAAGAACCACTATTATAAGGAATAATAAGCTAAGTAGTTTGACCAGGCCTGAAACACAGGCAGAAGAAAAAATGAAAGAAAAATAAACACATCAGAGATTGGTATAAAAACGTGTAAACAATACTTGATCACCACTTGTATGCAAGTAAATATATAACATTCCAATTAAATAGTTCCTAGGCTGTGCTAAATCACTCAACAAGCACATCTCTGCTCTGATCCTTATGGAGTTCAAAAGAAGCTGAAATTTGCCAGAAAGACAGCAACTTTTGCATTTCCTCTGGATCATGGTTTAGTCAGTGGCTGGCTGCTCTACACTGTACCCATTGCAGTTACTGGCCTCAGCGGAGGAGATAACATGTCCAAGAACACACAGTATTTCTCTGGCACGTCATCTTGAAAACTCTTCGGCTGAGCATTTCTTGAATGGCTGCTTATGTAAAGTTTGTATGACCAGAGAAATGCAAGACACACTTGTTACCTGCCCCCTAAAATAAGAAAGATGTCACATCCCCAAAATATTCAATTGAAAAAGAAAAAAAAAATTTTGGGAGAGGGTAAAGAAAAGAGTATCCGTCCTCCTGTTAAATGCTCCTCGGAAGGAGGCGCAGCATTTGTAAAGATTTAAATATCTGTGCTCTTCCATAAGGAAAGAAATTTAAGAAGTATTTAAAAGCAAAGAGCCTTCCCAGAGAATATCCCAGCACTACTCTTCTCAAATTCATATTCAAGAATCTTCTGCCTTAGTGCTTTGTTTGATACTAACTTTTAAAGCACAGCAGAAAAGGCAAGGAATATAGAGATTACTTGTGCTTGATTTAAACCCTAAACTTCTGGAGGAGACTGGGATATTCTCATGGTAGAATATCCATTTAGGACAAGAGCTCTTCCATTCTCCTTTAACTCTGGCTATAAAGCCTTGTAGGAAACACAGAGCAAACTAAAAATATCCTGTCTTCAGGTGGTCTAACACAACTCTGATGGAGTTTGATGATATACAACTGCTAGGTCACAGAAAAAGAATGCTTGAAATTCTGGGAACACAAACAGAACAGTTTGGTTGTGAGGGGCCATGGATCTCCTTCTTATCTGAAATTACAGTATAAGAATTATTTCCTCTGGATTTCCCTTGTTTACTTTGGGAGAGAACCAAATCATATCATTGAGAAAAACCTGAACTCTGAGTACCATTCAAAACCTTTATATTGGTTTCAGTGCCATATGCTTGTTCTTTTATGTGTCACAAACTGATACCAATCAGACTTGAATGCACAGTGCTCAGTTATGGGATCTGAGATACTGTTTTTTAAACACTGGAGTGGACTGGACCTTGCCATGCATCACCAGGCTGAAATAAGTAGAAAATATCTGATAAGTCCTTTGGACTGCTGTGAAAATCAGCCATTGTCACTGACCAACAGTGCTTCTGATTTGAGACAAACCTGCTGGAAAAGGAGAGCCAGCTGTGAGAACTGGAAGCTCAGTCACTCTTCCTCCTTCTTCATCAGCAAAGTTGTGACAAAATGGAAATTCTAGAACATTTTTACTTTCTCTGTGTTGAAGCTTTACCTTAGCAAAGAGCAAAACCAAATAACTTCAGCATCTGTTACACTCTAAAGCAAACTACAGCAAAAGACAAGCTATTAAACAGCTATGACACATCATCTCAATATTTAAAAATAAGAGGAAATAATCTTTTCTAAAATGTTTTTGAAAGCAACCTGTTGAATGAGAAGGAATAGATACCTTTCCTAATTAAACATTATCAATATCTTGTCAACATTATTGCTGTAGAGACTGCACTAAGGGAAAAAATATTTAGAATTGTTCAGAAAAGGTTCCTTCATGTATCTTATTCATCCAGCATATGGAAGAAAAAGAAGTGTTGATATGAGCACATTTTAGCTTCTGAGAAATGTCAATATGCCACAATATTTTTCAGTGCAGAATGTTTTCTTATTCTAAGAGGAGAGAGAAAAAGAAGTGTTTCTGGGAAAAAAATGAAAAACAGAAATTAGGAATGTTTTATGGCATATGTATATATCAGCACATACGTATCACATGAATATATAGAGTATCATACTAAGTATTCTTATTCTCTGTGAAATTCTGTGTATAAACCAATGTTTATACACATGTTGTTCCTGAGTTAAGCAGCTTATTCCTACAATAAGAAAACATATTTTAATAAGAAGATAACTTTCACTATGGTAGTACCAGCTACACTAAAAGACAAAGTTCCTTTTTCTAAGCTATTTAAAGATCAACCAGACAACATATTTGAAAAAAAAAAGTTGCACAAAGTAAGCCTGCTTTGAAAAGGGCACAGATAGTTCACTCATACAATTCTTCGTGACCTAACTCACTAAAATGTCCAAACCTTTAACCCAGTAAGCAATATCATCTTTGGTTAGGAATCATCACTGGGAGATGGTGGCATTATTTTGTCTTCAAAAGACTGTTACTATTTTTCATTATGACAGACATACTGAAAAGATTTTTTTTAAGTGTACTTTGAAGTATAATGTTAGCACAATTTCTCTTTAATAATAATATCTACATTCCTGAACACTTTATTGAAACAGATTTCATTTACTGTGCTTTATTTTTTCAAGAAGTGAAAGAAGCAAGAATAAAGATATTAGCTATTACATGTTACAGAAATAAAGCATTAATTTTGTTCTGAACATTAATTTATACTGATTTCAACTTCCTCAAAAACATCAAGATAATTAGCTTGTAGTTTTGGTTATAAGAACAAATTCTAAATCTAAACATGGAATTCAACCAACTACACCTTCCTTTACTTTCAATAGGGGGAAATCTCAGGCTCTCTGGAGGTGCAATCTTGTAAAATCAAGATAAAATAGCATAGAAATGACCACACTGATTCTAACCAGCAGTGTAAATAGACTGATAACCTGTCTCTTATAATAGATATTATCCACAATCTCCTGTACCAACCTAGTTGAATCCTAATACAAGAATTCAGCCAGTCCTCCTATAGAAACCATGGAATAAGAGGAGATGTCTTCCTAAAACCCAAATAATTTACATGTATCCCGAAGCAGGGAAATTTATAATTTCTTTCTCTGCCTCTTCCTCCTACCTAAGGTAAATGTGCATCTTTTCCTTACTTATATAAATGATGCTGATTTTTTTCTAACTCAGCTTTGAGTCATTGTCCTGAGCTAATGAATTAAAGCAGATTAATAGATGTCACTGTTTTCAACTGCCAAGTTTCTGTTCTGAAATTTTTACTGTGATCCACTGTCTCCTACAATACTGCAGAAGCAGTCTTAATTTTGATATATTTGCTGGATGACTATTTCATCTGGCTATGAAGATGAAATTAACAACCTGCCTACCATTTAAATGTCAGAGGGTTCAGCTCACTGATATCATGTATTGGACAGGAAAATTACTTTTTCTCCAGCTTTTAATGAGAACAAACCAAAAACGTGAATGGGCAAAAGTGTTTCTGCAATTTGAAAGAAGATGACTCTTTCCTTTGGAATTCTTTTTATTTTGCCAACATAAAAAGATAAAGTGGTTTTTTTTGTTTGTTTGTTTTTGGTTTGGTTTTTTTTTTTCGGTATAGTGAGGTGCCACAGCAATTTCGATGTGATGTCAGATTTTGGCTTCAGCATCTTGGACATCAGAAGAAAGATTGTCACTTTTGCTATTCACTTCTTTTATTCACATGCCAACTTAAAAGGCAGATACTTTCATCAGAATGCATTCCTAGTGTCTAGCTTAATTATTTGCCTTGGATCACTGAGTCTACAACATGTAACAGCCAATTTGAAGTTATGTAAATATTGCAATGGATGCCAGTGGGTACAGTTCTGAAAAGATATCACTGGATATGCTACCGATGATGGCACATCTGTATACATGCCCTCCAGAAATCCATCCAAGTTTATAAGATTTTGTTATCCGTCACTATCCTAGCAAGTGTTTTAAGCAATCTCTGAAGTTACCACTCTACAAATGGTGTAAAATTAGATTAAAGATTATGTAATTTCAGACAGAACTGAAATCTGGAAGCCATAACCATAAAATATGGAAAGCAACAACAACAACAACAACAAAATAGAGACACAATAAGTAATCGCTTTAGGTATTAGTTTTTACCTCACAGCAATGCCAAGTTTCTCCTTCTCCAGCTTCTTCAATTTCTAGGCGAACTTTGATTATAGTATTAAATTTCTTACTTAGTTCAATAGAAGTCTCATAAATCTGTTCTTTTTTAAGGGATCCTTTGGGAAATATGACTGAAGTATAGGTTCCTTTTTCACCACATACAGTTAGAGACATTTTAGGGTTCATGGAATTAGAAGAAATATCACTAGTTGTAACAAGGACATCCCAAGTCCCTGTTGAAATAAAACAGCAGAAAAAAAATTAATGGGTTTGCTGAATATCCAAAATAATACAGCAATTTGTAACAGGCTAAGTTAGTGAATGACTAGCAACACATTCCCACTTTTGTACTTAGCTCAAATATTGGCATGTAACAGGTTCACTTATTATCACTGATTTAGTGAGAAGCAAATTTGGGCACCAGCCTTTCCATAGCAGTACCTGACCCTTTAGAGATGGGCCAGTCCAAGAAAAGTGTGCAAGTAAGACAGCCAGTTCCGTATTTGAGACTTATGAAGAGCAAGGTCAATCTGTTGATTTTTTTCCCCTTTGTAAATGTTTCCTCTGATGATTTTAAATATATAATTATTTTTCTATACTAATCACCATTCAAAAGCATCATGTATTTTATTAGATACTACTGGTCAGTGTTTTTTCAACTTTTTGAGGATTTACTTAAATGAACATGTTAAAATTTGCTCCATGTATACTATGAGATGGTAATTAGATAAACTGGTTCAGAGTCTGAAATGTGACATTTTTATCACAGACCACTACAGTTATCATAACAGCAAAATACAAAACCTTGTCTATTTTTTCTGTGAAGAACTGATGTTTGCTGAGAGTTTAAAAATAATCCTATATAACAGTCCCTAGATTTGTCTACTTTGCAGACACAGGAAACACTCAACTAGTATTTTTACTATGTGTCGTTCGAATCACTTAGTCACTTAAGCATTATAGGTGAATTGACAGTCCCCTGAAGACTCACAAGGACTGCAGACTGATACCAGTTAGGCTCCTAAGTAATTTCTGCAACTCTATATGGAACAGATATTTAGTTAACCCTTTAATCAGTAAGAGAGTTTTGACGATCAGAAACTTGTACCCATCAACAAGATCTCAGTGCTGCTTTAGCTAGCTTTAATATTTCAATATATATTTGTAAATAGAATATATGGAAAATTCAGGGCTACCAAAGATCATGGTTTCAATTTCAAAAAATATGAAAACCCAAGTCTTTAGTCACCTGGGCTGTAGCAGAAATGAGTAGAATTTTTTTATTAGCTCTGCTTATGCAAAGCAAGACTAAGTATGGATTTTATAATTTCAAGTAGCTGTTTTGTAAAACAGGTTATTTTACTTTGAGTAACGGAAACCGTGACTTTCTGAGTTTGTGTCCATAAACCTTCAAACTTCACTTCCTAAACATGACAGAAAAGTCTTTGTCTCTTAATATAACTAATGTTAGTAAAGTTTTACTACTGTAGTTCAGGTGAGAATCTGTGCCATAAATCCAGGACTTGGTGAAGGTAAAAATTTAGTACTCACCATCTGTAAAATCATCTAAAATAACTTCAATATTATGGCTTGATGAATAATATTAAATACCTACCATTTTCACATCTATGAACACTAAATGTAAATGAAACCAATTATATCCATTAAAAAACGGAAGTCAAATTAAAATTTATCATATCCCCTGTGAAATACTCTAAGATATTGTAGCCCTTTAGTACGGAAATATTAAGCTTTTAAACTATCGGTGTATAGCTGCCCAAGGAAGGGTGAATGGAAGGGCTATGCCTGTTGTCATACAGTAACATAAGCTGCTGTAACACCTAAACTCAATTCCATAATCTCTGATAAATTTGTCAAGATACAATTTAAAAACAGCTTCCTTCCTTCTCTTTAACTTAGTATAAAGCAGAGTATTGGGTTGGCATGGCAAGGTTTTGATAGCAGGGGGATTTCGGGGGTGGCTTCAGTGAGAAGCCATTAGAAGGCCACCAAGTCCAATACAGCCAGGGTCTGTGTCTCCAAGACAGACACACGACTGGCAAACACTGAGCCCATTAGCAAAAGTGATAGTGCCTCTGGAATAAGGTATTTAAGAAAGGCGGGAAAAAAGACCTGCACAATTGCAACTGGAAAAGGGAAGAGTGAGAAAATGCAAGAGAAATAACTCTTCAGATCCCCAGGTCAGTGCAGAAGGAGGGTGAGAGGTGCTCCAGGCACTGGAGCAGAGATTCCCCTGCAGCCTATGGTGAAGATCATGGTGAAGCATCTGTCCACCTATGGCACATGGATGTCCATGTGGAGCAGACATCCACCTGGAGCCCATGGAGGACCTCAAGATGGAGCAGGTGGATGTCTGAAGGAGGATGTGACTTCATGGAAACCTTATAGCCCCGTGGAGAGAGGAGTCCACATTGGAGCAGGTTTGCTCCTGAAAGACTGCACCCTGAGGAAGGAACCCATGCTGGAGCAGTTCATGAAGAACTGCAACCTGTTGGAAGGACTCACTTTGGAGAAGTTTGTGGAGGACTGTCTCCTGTGGGAGAGACCCCATGCTGGAGCAGGGGAAGAGTGTGTAGTCCTCCTCCTGAAGAGGAAGGAGAGACAGAGACAACATGTGATGAACTGAACACAAATCCCATTTCCTGTTTCCCTGAAAAGCTGGATAGGAGGAGGTAGAGAAAATTGGGAGGAAGTTTAGCCCGGGAAGAAGAGGGTTAAGGTGTTTTCAGATCTGGTTTTATTTCTCATTATCCTACTCTTATTTGATTGGTAATAAATTAAGCTGATTTCCCCAAGTCAAGTCTGTTTGGACTGTGATAGTAATTGCTGAGCCTGTCTTACCTTGACCCACAAACCTTTTATTATGTTTTTTCTCTCCTGTCCAGCTGAGGAAGGGAATGATGAGCAACCATGATAGGCACCTGGCATCCAGCCAGGTTCAACCTAACACAAAGAGTGCTATGCTAAAAATTTATTCTTTCTTTGTTTCTTTCTCAGAAATCTTTTACTTCTCTCAGAATTGCATTAACTGACTGCTGAAACCCATTTATTTTTATGACAACTTTACTAGCTTAAATAACAAGTCTCCCTCCTTGATGTATAAACCACCATTAATTTTATAGATCACGATTGTGTCCATTTTGAGCATTTAATTTGCTATTCCGAATCTGTCAAGTTTTTTCAATGCCCTTTCACAACAAAGAATTGCCATATTCTCAGTTATCATAATGTCTTTAGAACTATGCCAGCTTTAATCAGTCCTTCTGGACACAGATGGCCACAACTGCACGTAGCACTCCTGGTGAAATATCTCAGTTTCTCTGTAGAGGTAGTAAATCACTTAGATTTTAACTGATAATGCCTCCATACATTGCCGGGTGACAGTAACCCCATAGCTACATGACATTACTGCCTCAGAAATTATCCTGTGATCACATAACAAGCCCAGATATTTCTCGTAGTCCTCTGCTATGTGCGTAGCAGAAATCATTACAAAACATGGTGACACAGATCAAATACAGCTTTTAGACTATAAGGTACTACTTAGTTCCTCATTTTAAAAAAACCCAACCAACTAACCAAACAAAAAACCCACACTACAATGGAAATTAGGACTGTGTATCAGAATTAAGAGCTCAAATATCTAGTTGGGTTTACGCCTAATTGTATACAAGCTTTTTGCCACAGAATTTAGTTCCATTGTTTTCCTCCAGTTCTCAGTTTATCACACAACCTCTTCATATCCTGATAGAACTCTCAGCTTTCTAGCATCAACAGATTTGTTAGCATATTCATTGTCTCTTCTCCAGGCCTTTACAATTCTTCCTTTACTACTAGTTTTCACTTTATTATGATTTCCTAATAATTTCTCATAAAGCAAATAAAATTCAGTACTGACATTTGGACAGATTAGAATTTATTACATTTGTCTTACTGCACAATATTTCTAGAGTATCGCCTTGTTTTACGTCCTATCTTTAGTAAAGTCATGGTGCATTCTTCCTCATTTCCTATTTGCATCTATTATCTTAACTATTCTTTTCTTTAAAGTGTGTTATAAAGCTTTTCATGTGAACAATTACTAATTCTATATTCACCTACATTATGCTTTCTATGTTTTAGAAGGAGGTATTACCTTTACTATTGCCAAGTCATACCTTTTGTCTTCATCAAATTGTTTTAAATCCTTGCTGTTAGTCCTGCTACTTCATTTACTCAATCCTTTAGTATTCTGGACTAATGACTATTCTGTTTGTCACTGTTTGACTACATGAAACTGGAAGTTCTCTTTGCATTTTAGATTTGACAATTGCCAATGACCTCATTCCCATTAGTACTTAAAATCTTTAATCCCCTGACCAACATTACAGTTCCTTAATGAAAAGAGAGATAAAGTACTCTATTTCTTTAGAGTTTTTAGCTACATCACCTTCAGTCTGGACTCTATTGCTCATGCATATTTACACATCTTTCCAGGTTCTTTTCATAAGTAAATGATTGAAGAACCTTTATTATTTGTTTTAATTCTTTTATAAAATCTGAGTCAGCTTGGAATTTAGTAATTTTCTGACCCCTAAGGTCATTTTTTGCTGATCAGTCTTTTATTTCTCCATTTTTCATAGGCTCTGTGCTTACTTGTCTTATTATTTCTGGAATTATTATACACCCCAACCAGAAATGATTTTCAATGGATACAGAGCTGAGTATTGATAACCATAGACTTGAAATTATTATCAAGTCTACACTGACATTTTTGAGGACTATGTGTATGTGGAAAACCAAGGAAGGAAAATGTTTTTATATTTAACATTACAGTTACATTCAGACACTAATCAAGGTGCATAAACAAGGATGCAAGATTTCTCTCACTTTTCACATTATCAGTGAAGAAAGATTTAACAGACTTTGACCAGCCTTGGACTTCTGCTCTGAATTACCCTCAGAAGACGCCTGCCTCACTCTGTGGATTATGTAGGACACCTATGGGATCTATTTATTAGAGATGTAGAGTACTTAACAGTGGTACAATACATCTATTTCTTATTCTGTAATTGACACCACTCTTAACTGCTCATCCTATGCCTATATTTCCATGGCATTCTGTTCTGTTGTCTCAGTGACATTATTTTTCTGTTTCCTTAGATGATAATGAGATATCCACTAGTGGACTAACTACAGGTGGCTAAATGTGAACTAATTTTGTCTGCAACTATGTATAATAGAAAACTCTCTGAACATAAAAGAAAATATACAGGAGTACAGAAATTAATAAAAATCAGTTGAAAAAATGGCTGATACAGAATGCAAATTCACACCTTCAGATTAAACTTTACATAGCTTGGTCTACCAGTTCTGATTCAGACTTCATAAATGGACTCAAACCAACACTTTACACCTCTTCAAAAAAGACATGTGAGAGTGCTAAGAAATCCAGTACCCTGGCAAAGTATAAAAGACTTACCATGTTTTCACTAATTTGTTTCTGAATTTTAGTCTTTTTTTAAATTAACAATTTGAATAGGATATTGAGTTTAGGTCAACTAACTGTTTGCAAGAACTTGTGCCATTGATATAAGTAAGAGAGAAAACTGCAAATAAAAGCAAATGCTTTCTGCAAATATATGAACATACGGAAAAAATCTCATTCTGCTAAAAGCATTTTTGTATCTCTTTTTGTGATTTCATCACTGTTGCAGGAGCCTTCTGCTCTGCATTGACTGCCATATGGACCAACCTACCTCTTTCTGCTTCAGCTTTTTTTCTAGCTTCAACTGAAAACATAGTTCCTTCATTGCCTCCATCACTTAATATCTCCCTTCTGGTCTAGTCTTTCTTCTCTGAACATTATAATTGTATTTACCAGCTCAGGAAAGTGTTTAGAGAGACAACTTGTGTGAGAGATGCAATTCACATTCAAACTATATTGTTTCTGTAGTTTGGTTTTAGCCTTAAAAATAACCAAAAAATATTAAAAATTACAATTAAAACTGAAGTTGAGTTTTGGGGATTTTGGTCCTTACCATAAATCTTTCCTGTCAACATTCCATTCCCAACTTTTCCAAGTAGTTTCAATGTTCGTTTCATCTGTGCATCACCAACTCCACTGTCTAACCATTGTTGGCAAAGAAACACATATTGGTCATCAGTCTTGCCTGATTCATGGATGACGATTTGGTCCAGGTACCATCCAGCTCCATAACCCTCATTATGGTGCTCAACAAGGACTTTGCTTAACTGTCCAAGGTCTACTGCTCTCACTTCAGAGATAGAAACCTGAGAAAGCAGAGGCAAAAAGAATAGCAAACTGATTAAACCATATTTTATCTTCCATCTTTGAGAGGATTGTGTTTGGAAAGGCAGACTCCTTTCAATGCTGAAGTATCTTCTCCTTTCTGAGAGTAAGGAAGGACATTATAGGCTGGCATTCATATTTGGAGAACCTGTTCAGAAACTATCTTTAAATATGTACATTTTTAATTCTTCATGATCACTGCAGCCCAGGCTTTATTATGAAAAACATTCAACATTTTTGGGTAGGAAAAAAAATTACAGAAATCTCATGAAAATTGAAGTTCAACCACTTCCTCATAACTCAAACAGAGGAAGTGCTTCAAGTATCAGAAGAGACCTGGTAAATTAAATCTTGGTTTAGATAAGGCATTTTATTTTAAAATATTTCAAAGTATTTTACATTCTAAGACATCCTTTTTTTCAAATGGGAAATGTTGTATTATTCAACTCTGAACAGAAATACTGACACTGTTGATGACTTTGCAAACAAAGGAAGATACTGACATTAGAAACTATAACTAAGGCAGTGCACGCATACAGGCAAGAATTGATGTGCTCTTCGGATGTAAATAGACATCTGTTTAAATATTGCTACGGCTACCAGTAAACAAAAGCTAAATGGCAACTGCACTAGTACATGTGGGGATGAATAAATTATGTGAGTGAGAGAATGAATGTGTTCTGTGTGAGAGATAATATGAGTGGGTGGGTAGATACATGGGCATGTGTGTGGGTGACATTAAAAAAACCCAGATGGATAGTAGAAACAGACGCTATAATTTTTATTTGTTGCCAACCAGTTTGCCACCAGGCAGGAAAAAGCATGAGGACCAGAAAGCAACAAAGGAAGAGATGATTTTTAGAAAGAATTATGTCATCTGGTCCATTCTACTGTCTGTGTCAGACTATTCTTTACAATATGATCAGAAAAAGAAAACATCAGAGTTATTATTCCTATCACAGCCTTAGGACTTCCAGCATTTTTACCTTGTTATATCTACAATCTCCTCAAACAGTTACCATGGCAAGTTATACTCCTGCATGCAATGTATATGTAGACCAAAATAAGATCTAGCTGTGAGGAACATCTTGCAAATAACTTTTTGGGTGCACTCATTGCTTTTTAATTTTATTCTTTGTAGTTCCAAGCCAAATATAATTTTCTTGTCAGTCTACATGACCCTTGACTTAGAGGAAATAGCCTGTATTGCTAATATTCATGTTCCTTCACAGCTAACTCTCTCTGAGAAAGGGACCTATCATTAGTTTCATTCTTTGTGATAATAATTAACATTCATTAGGCAACAGTGGTCATAATTGCCCATTGTTATCAATGAATTCTCATAATAATACATTAAATTGCCTACTCCCTCAGCATTAGCAAGAATGTACTTTTGGTCGATGTCATTGCATTTCTTTTTTTCCCTTCAGTATAAAGACATTTGGAACTACATTAAACACACTACTGGAAATATAATTAATGAAAGTCAAAAGGATTTTGTTTAAACTGTTTTGCAAACCCACTTTACAACTTTTTTCTTACACTTTGTTGCAATTTTCTGCCTTCTTAGCTTTTCCTTCTATTCCTGTCCTTTATCAGTTAAGAAAGATCCTTTTTTTTTTGATGTCTCAAGTTTTCTTAACTGTGTTTTCTTTGCCTGTCCATTCCATATTTTCCAAGCATATTGCTGACGTAATCTTATCTCTCAAGACAGCTTGCCCTTTACATTCCTTCCTTTCACCTTCTATTCTTAGATACTCTCACTAAAACCTCATTCCAACTTTTTTATTGATGTACTTCTATGTATAAAGAATGTAAGACTAGTAGTAGTATTTTAGATTGCAAATCCATCTAGTCCAATATAGTGTTACCTACAGCTACCAGTAACAGATTTCTTGGGAAGAGTTGAAAAACAGGGCACATATATAGAGATGCTTCCTGAATATAAAGCCTCTGAGGCTTTAGCAATTTGTGATTCAGAGATTGCCTGAGCCAGAGATAGCATCTTTGCACTTAACATTCCTCAGTGGAAAGTTGTCTTCCATGACAATGTGCAGTGGCTTTTTGCACCAATACGCATTTTGCCATCTGCAACATCTTGTGCCAGAAAGTAAAATGTATTAATTACACACTGTGTAAAAAGCCACCTCCTTTTGTTTTGAATCTGCCACCTGCAGGTGTCATTGAATGCTCTTGAGCTCTTGTATTTCATGAGAAAATAGAAGTGCTCATTTTCTCTATGCCATTTTATATTTCTTATCTCCCTCACCCTTCCTCTCATCATCTCTTTTCCAGACCAAACAGTACTTGTTTGCTTCATTGTTCCTTGCATGGAAGATATTTCATATCACTTGACATTCTTCTTGCACTTTTTAAGACAAGTGAATGAGAACAAAACACAGCATCTATTATACCAGAGAACTTAGTTGGAGGCACGACTGTATTTTTTGCCTAGAAGTGGCTGAATTTTTCCTTTTTGTAATAATTTCTAAAAATTTTATCTGTTCTATTTTCCTTTTGTTTTGCTTCTATTGGGCACTGGGCTGACATAGTCACAAAGCTATCCTTATGGTAGGGTCATTTTCCTATTTCATAGCCCATCATTTTGCATGCAGATTTAAGGGGTTTCCCCCCTCACAGCCACTGCTTTTCATTTAGCTACAATGATTTAATCTGCCATTTTATTACTCATTCACTCTGCATGAGGTTCTTCAATCTCTGCAACCAACTTTCATATTTATTAGCTTAGTATCATCAGAACATTTTGCCGTCTCACTGCTCAACTCTTTCCCAAGAACCTATCGCACAACGAGGAACATGAATACACAAAATACCTAAGCTGAAGAACACTTTCATTGTCCACAGCACAAAAGCTGCTCCCCTAAAACAAAGGATCTGTTTGGAAAGACACAGCACTCCACTGCTCAACTCAGTGTGGTGGCTCTGATTTCTTCAACGCAAACAACTGTGTCACTGACTCTGTATTAACAACCTGCTGGAAAGCGCCATGTAAATTATTTCATTTTAGGCCCCTTTTCCAGATTATGTTACCGACTATGTGTGTCTTTATGTCTTTTATTAACACTTCTAATTGCCTCTAAACATTTGCCCTCAAAAATGCCAAGGATTAACCTGTATTTTTAATTATATAATCCAGAAAATCAATATCACAAACCTTTTTGTATTTTTTTTCATAGAAGTGTTTGTACTAGGACAGAAGGATTTTACAAAAATAATGTCTTAAAAAAAAAAAAAAGAAAAGAAAGGTTTCAAGAGACTATAAGAAAAGGAAAAGAAAAACATGCCTAAATACTTTGGATGGAAGATGATGGGCAAATTATTAGGTGTTTCCCAATGCAGAGTAATTTCACTAGACACCAGGACACTAAATACTGCTATGAATCTAGCATTAGGTTATTGCTATGAAAAGAAGAGATTAAGCATATTTTAAAAGATACATTTGATTTCCTCAGTAGTAGATGAAAGTGGAATTAAACTTCATTGAAATATATATATGCTTATCTCTTTTCATTCTTGCCTAAACGATTGATGATCTTCATTTTACAGCGAGAAATAAGGGATACAAGGAAAGTAAAATCATACATTCAGATCACCAGGTAAACCAGTGACTGAGCTTGGAAATGAATATAGTTGTTCTGCCTAGGAGTGCTTAATACATTATATCACAGAGTCCACTTAGAACAAATGTTGTCTGAAGATGGTACCTAGAGCTAAGCTAATAGAAATTAGACAAAGAAGAAAGAAGAGAAGCAGAGGAGGTGATGGCAGATTTTAAAGAAAATTGCAAATGTATTATTGAAGAGTCAGAAAACTATATAGGAATGTCTAAGTAGGATGATTAAAGAAACATTCTTCTATACAAGGAACAATGCAGCAACAAGACAGTTGAGCAGAAGAGAGAGGTCAATAAAAGTAGGAGAGAAAAAAAAGAGAAAAAAAGCTTATACAAATTCATGGGAAAAATGTATCAATTACTTTGGAACACATGATGACATGCCTGGTTTCTAAGTTTCTAAGCTCAAGAACATATTTTGACATTATAAAGGAAGCGAAGGACGACTTGTTAAGGGCAAGGCTGGGAAAGCAGTGGAACATGTTGCCTAAGAAAGTTATGGCATCTCAGCCATGAGAGAGCATATGAAGGAGTATGAAGTATGGAGCATGCTGCTTTGTTGAATTGATGATTTGAAAGGTCTCTTTAAATCCTATCTAGTCATACCTGGTCTGAGTCCAGGGTATGTGTGAACATGTTGTATAGATGTAATCATTACTATGGTAATTAGCAAAGGTTGACCAGAAAATCTCTCCTAGGATATATCTTGAGCAGACCCAGTATTTACAAGCAGCTTTATCTGTTTGCAATTCTATATATAAATGGATTAATTGACATATAGTAGCTAACACATTTAAAATCTTTCTTTCAACTCTATCTGGACAGATCTTTTGAAAGAAGTGCATTTTAAAGGAGGAATCACAGGAAATAGCCCTAATATTTCTATGCAGCAGAAAATTAAGTGCTGAAATTTAAGTGCTGAAAGTGCTGAAAATTAAGCCACAGAATTTTATATATCACTGGATTCAGTTCCAGATTCTAAGAACAGTTACTGGTGGTTTGTGGGTTTTAAATTTCTTGGTAATTAAACTATTCTTAAACTGTAATGCCAGTTCAGGTTACTTAGTAAGCAACATATTCTTTCCACAGGTTACCAGAGTGTTACATCAGTGATTGTATTTCATAATTAAAAAGAAATATGGTATTGGAAAAAATAGAGTAAAAAACATGTAAGAAAGATAACTTAGTACTAACCTGTCCTCTCTCAAAATTCGAGTGCCTTAGTTGCCTTTTAGAGGAATCTCCCTGCTCTCCAAATACTGTAATAAACACATTTGCATCAGTCCCTGCTGCAGGCAATGTTCCCGTATGAACACTGATCGAGTAAAGGACTTCTGCCATGAAAAATGAGTGACACAAGACATTACCAAATCAGACTATTAGCAACATAATTATCAAACATTAGAAACCGATTTATTTTAGATACAAGATCAATTTCAAGACCAAGGAATTAAGTTATAGGAATTGACATAAATTTTCTGAGTTTCATATAGATTGCTATCGACCTCACAGCACACAGTACAGCATCAGAGAAGAAATGTCCTCTATGAATCAATGCAACAATACACACTTGCATGACAGAAGAAGATGTCCTAGTTTTGGACTCTTACCCAGTGGTCATTGAAATCATCTGAAAGAATCACACTGATTCTATCAGGCATTGTAAAAAACCTGGAGTTCTTGTGGGAATTTAAGGTATTAAACTGAGTTAGGATTTATCAACTCTAACATTTTACCAAGGAAAAAACACAGACATAAAAGATGAAATCCACTTTCTGTTCTGGATCAGCTGAATTTTATTTTGACCTCACATTTTGCGAATTATGGCCAATATCAGTTTAATATGTCCAGGAGAAATGGCTCAGCTATTTATACAAATATACACTGTTATTATTATTCTTCACCACAAAGGATAGCTTGCCATGACTTTTGGCTGATGAGTTATATAGTACATATTCTTTGAGGCAGCATGACAGAGGACTTTTTATGGGTTCTGTGAAGAGTTAAATGTTATACCAGGCTCTTTAGATATATTTCCATTTCCAGTCTAGCCTTTGGTTAGATGTTAGATGCAAAAAGTTTTAAATATTTTAACTAAGTCTTCTGTTCATAGAGTATAATAAATGGGAATTCTTTTCTAAATATTTTATAAAATGTAATCAGAACAAAGGAACATGTTATCATATTTTAAACAAAATGATGAAATGAAACAGGGCTTCTGGGGCAGAAATGGGCTTGAAGAAAACCTAAAAAAGGATTGTATTTTCTCTTTGTGATTCATGCCATTATGACTTGGCACCTGCCCTTTTTTAATCTGTAATTCAGTCCCTCACCAAGTGTAAGTCAGTGATTTTCTCAAAATTACAAGAGAAATATACTAATTCAGCTGTGTGCATTTTTCAGACTTTCAAATTGGTACTTAGTCTAGGGAAAACAATACATCAGTTGTTTTAAAACAAGAAAATGCTTTAACTACACTCATATTTAGACCCCCACATGGTTTTGTGCAGGTTTATTGAATGAATCTTCAAAAATTTTTGGTGTGTTTTTTTAATGCATGTAAAATACTTTGCAGTCTTGTCCATTGTGTTCATCCCATTAAGCAGTTTACAGTTTTGTGTATGTGCGTGCATTTGCTTGTGTATTTTTTTTTTATTTCAGCAGCATACCCCTGAGTGGTGGCTTGTCTGGCCAGACTGCTGCTAGCTCTGTCACAGTCTCAGATCCATCTTCTCCAAACAGACATGGGGCTTCAGTATGGAAGCCCAACTCTTGTTTAGTGTCCAGGTCTTTTAGCCGAAGCTGCAGACAGAATCAAAGTAAGAAATCAATTTATCTGAATTGCTTCATTTTTTTATTCCTATCCCAACAGAAACTTACATTTCTTCCTATTTCTAACTCCTGAACACATTTTATAAAAGCTACCGGATTCTGTATAAGAGTTACAGCAGTTGCTTCAAGCTGCTAATTCTGCAGTTTGATGTTTATAGGTATATTCTTCATGGCATATTGACACGAGCATAGGACCCATTTGTAGAGAACCAATGAAGGATACAGATTAAATTGACCTGTATGTGTTTGCAATTTCAGAATGTCAAATGAATGAATACAGTTACATCAATCTTAATAGCATATGCTATCTGATTTTTGCAAAAACATTTGCTTTGCTACTTTTTATTTATTTAAATGTGACTTGCTATATCTCAGCTAGGATTTTCAAAGTCAACAGAAATTAGGTGTCCAGCGGTCTTCAGGGCTCCCCATGGAAATGAGTTGCTTAAAGAATGAATTTCAGTAGAAGGTTCAAGCTTTAGGTCCAGCTTCATTCCGCTTGGCTTTAAATACTCATTGGAGACTGAACAAATTAGGTACCAATTTTATGGACTTCGAACCTCCAAACCAACTAAGGATGCACAGTCTTAGGAACCCCCATATCCTAGCTACTGAGATGGGCAGTGTGGAAATTAGATTCACAGGAGGGCAACTCAGACCGTAAACTCTATCCTACATCGGGTTATAAAATACAGAATGAAAATCTATCGAGTATATGCAGAAACATTTCTGGTAACTATGACACGCAGTATTGAACTTTAATACATAGCTAATGACTGCAAGTTTACAGGAGTGGTTTCTCCAGCCTTTAAAATCTCTTTGTATAGAAATAGTATATCCAAGGCAATTAAACCAAAACAAAATGAAACAAAAACTTAATTTCATCAAGACAGTAAGTAATTGACAGTGATTGAAATTCTTAGGCAGGGATTCCCAAAATTAATGAGGTGACTTCTTACCAGTACAGACACCAGTGACAAAAGCAAAAATTTTAGCTCATTGTGCAGAATACACGTGCCAGAGTTTGGAAATCCTGAGTACAGATTTCTTCACGTGGATTTTAATTGCAAGCTTTGAAAGGTACAAATATTTATATAATTGAATGATATTATTTAAATTATTGGGAATTTGACAGGTCCACTCTTAAAAATTTTGTTAGATTATCTTGCCCTTGAGTTCCTAGAAATATAATGACTGAACATTTTTCATTATTGCTTATGCATTGTGTCCAGTGCTTCACAAGATCAGTCACAGGGCTTGCAGACAAAAATAAACAATTCTCCACAACCCTTTCCGGAATTAAACCATTAATTAATCAAATAGGTAGTGTTTTCATTTAGATAGCATCAAATTCCACTAAAAATGCAGCCCATTGCTTACTTATATTTTGCACTTGCAAAACTGAATTTTCTTACACTAAATGTATAAATTCTTCTTATACAAAAATATTCTGCCTAATTTCTATCAACACATACAACCCTAATTAAATATCAATACGTACCACAAACTCCTATGTGTATTAAAATTGCTCTAAGGGTTACCTGCATATGCAGGCAGACAACCTGATGCAACTGGACTCATAAAAATGAGGTGTGTAAATTTATGTAGACTTTGGCCTTAAAATGAAATGTACCTGACAGATTCTTGTTGATTGTAAGACTATGTTTGTGTATGAACTTTTTCGCCAAATCATATAATGTTTCTATATTCTATAGAAAAGTGAAAAATGGTTTTGTATTTCATTTTGGAAAGAGCCAGTAAATATTTTTGTGCAAGAAAAAGCTACTCATTTTACAGTACTACATCTTCAAAATTCACAGAAAATACATACATTTTAGCTAAGGTTATATAATTTTTTACAGAAGTGTTCAGAAGACTCCAGGAGATAACAAGAATAACTCCTAAAGTTTTTATAGTACCTCTGTAAAAACCAAAATAGGGAAAACAGAGATTGGCAAAAGGAACACAGAGTTTTTGTCTCCTTTTTAGCCTTTGCAGTTTCATCTGTAAGCCATGTTTCTGAGACATTTCTGAAACTTTGGATGTTACTTTTTTCACTTAAAAAGAAATCAAGGATAGGTGTGCACATTAGTGAACAGCTATACCTATATGCACTTCAGCAGGTGCAAACAAGGTAGATCTGCCCACAAGGAGATCAGGAAGTTGTAGGCAGTCATCTGTTGATACCAGGTAACAGACCCGAAAAATGACTGGCTTTGCTAGTGTGATGCAAAGCAAAGCTAACCATCTGTCTTTCAACAGAAGTTATTTACTGGTATGTTGAAGAGTATTGCAAGCGTATATGTAATGAACTTGGAATACCTTGTGAAGTTTAATTCCTCTTCTCAGAGGTGGACCGGATAACATAAAGGAAAGTTTTGTTATATCTCCAATATCACCAACAGTCAACTGTTGGGAAAAAAATAAAATAAACATTGTGTGTAGTAGTTTGCATGACTCTCTAAACCCATGTAAAAAAATAAATACAATAGGTAAAAACACTAGTCAGTTATATTAATATTGGAGTGAGGAAGTCCTGTTAAGATAAGTTAATTTGGACTCATGTTTGTATCATAATTTATGTTCATTTTTAACTGAGAGAATTGGCTGCAGAGCCTAGGCCAACACATCAAAAGCAAGAAAATGAGTGACTGATTCTGTGTTTTCAAGCCAAATTCACATTACTGTCCTTTTCTCCTGGTTTCCTTATTTACAACCTCTCCATCACATCTTTATTCTCAAACTTGAATTCACAATGATTCTTATCCTTGGCTACTGGTTCTGTCCTCAGCTATTTTAGTGCTCAAAAGAAAGCAAGTAAGTTCTATTATATGCTGCTGCTTGTATCTTTTCCTCTTGCATCAGTTAAGCAAGTGATGTTTATATTGCCATTCTGCAAAAGATGGGTAATGAGGTTTATTTCCTCATGTTTAAGAATAAAAACCTTTTGAAAGGGGCGACCCAGGTGCGTGGGTGTGCAGAAGCTGCCATTAACTTTGTATGCAAACTACAGATTTGACATTTGCCCAGGCACAAACTCATTTTAAAGAGATACAGCTTCTAAGTAGTAAAAGCAGATTAATTGAGGTTTGAGAAGCAGAATGTAAAGGAAGTATGGAACAGCTTCATCACTGATTGCCTTACTTTTAAGGCCTGCTAGTCTTCATTCAAAGTTAAAGAGGTTTTTCACATCAAATTTTGCATTTGCTAAAGAGATTTACTAAGAAATACGTGTTACCCCACAAGTGAGAAGTTCTCCAACCACTGTTCGTATAGGACATGGAGGTATAAACATTAACACTTACCAAAAGAAATCATTCCACACAACTTCACACATACTGGCTGCAATTCTTTTTTTACTGAAACTATTTGGTAAGACTTTTGTGAAATAAAAAAAAATACCAACCAAAAAAGGATCATCACTCAGATTTTGAACTTTCTGTGCAGGGGATTTCCCTTTTCTTCCAAATGCAACAACTTGAATGTCAGGAACATCTTCTGGTACTTGTGTACAGTGCACCCATATTTGCCATTGTCCTCTGCTTTTCATATCAAAATTTTTCACAAGAGATGTCACAGATGTTTCTGCAATGAAAAAAAAATTATATTTAGAACCTGTATCTAAGTTAAAAGGCAGCATAAACCAAAAGACACAAGATTATATTGCCTGCTGGTGCTGGATTTAGCACAGGCAAGTAAGGCAACGAAGGCGCAAAACCCTCATTGTTCGTGTTAGTCCTATGGGGGGGTAGAAAACTGGGTCAGCTGCTACATGAATCCATGTCACACTCACACAGGAGCCATGTCTATTTTCTTTGAATCATTCCAAGGACAGGAAACGTGCTGCCAGAAGAGATTCTTTCAATACAGCCAATTCCATATTCTTCATCTCAGGCATAATTTCTTCCTCCTTGTTTACAGAAGGCACGATTCACCTTGGAGAGGGCCCGTGTCCCTCCCCACTGGAGTTCCAATGCTCAGTTCTGCCTACAGTGTGAAGTGGCCTTGTACCAGTTGTGTTCTGCTCTGCCACGCAGGAGTGATTCATTTCAGATAAAGGACACTTCTCTTACCTTTGAGCGGAATTGCCACTTCTACAAAATCCTTTTTGGAACGTTTATTTATCCAGTCATTGTGAACAAAAACATGTGCAGAAAAAGGGTAGAAGTCTTCTTCTATAACAATTTTTTCCAAGAACCACTCATCTGAAGGAAAATAAATGGGACATTATTCATTTATACCTTTTAAGCAACAAAATATTCTGTGTACACAGTCACAAGTTTCTATCTTTGGCAAACCAGTAAGTGTGGGTTTTTTGATGAACTTCTTAAGGAAATAAGACTTCTGAAAATATTAATGGCTAGGCTTCGCGAATGAAGAACCGGGGAAGGTCTTTACACCTTCCAGCCTGCGCACTGGATTTTTTTTTTTTTTTAGGTGAGACACAGTGTGTGCAGAACTGAGCCCACCCTTTAATCCTGAGGTTCATTTGCCAGGGCCAAGCACGCTTGGACAGTGGCAGCGAGGTCCTCAGGACGTAGATGGATTGCCTTACAGGGCTAACGAGCTCCATCTGCCCAGGGAGTGTCCTAACCAGGAATCGAATCCGGATCTCAGCACTGACAACGCTGTGGTTTAGCCACTGCACCACCAGGGGCACTCATGTTGGCAATGTATTTATGTATTTCTGTCTGTTCCACTACAGTCCAAAATATTCGACAAAGTGAAGAAATCTTTACATTTTTACAGATCTTGTGAAATTAAATGTAGGGATAGATTTGTCATAATGATTATTACCATCTCAAAGTATGGAAAGGCTTCTGTCTGAGATTTTTAGATACAAGAAGTCCCCCAGAGGAAATTATATTATCAATATCCTAAAGGAAAAAGGATCAGGATTTCTATGACATTAGCCACCAAAAAATTCACTCAACACACTGGTGAGGCACTAGTAAGACACGAACTTCGGCTTAAGGTTTAATCTTGGTTGAGACCATTGTGTTGATTCTTTGGAAACAAGCATTTGAAGAATCAGATCTCTGAGTAAACTTGGTTACACTCCAAGTCTTGGTGAAGTGAATGAAAGTTTTAATGTTACCATCTAGGAAATATATGGGAAAGAGTCTGCCAATCATTTTGTCTGAGTCTGAGTTTACCAGCCAGAGTCAGCTTACAATCTTGGGGTTTTTTAAAAATATGAAAGAACAAAAGACTCAGCTTATCATACTCTGGAAGAATCTTATCTCCATTATCAACATTATCTACAGAAGTAGAATATCTGCAGAATCTCTGTTCTTTTGCCTTTAAAAATGGACCAAAATTGGAGCTAAAGGATTGAATAAAATACCAATTCATGATGCTCCTTGCTGTTGCTATTCATTTTTAAAAAATAAGCAGTTTTCCTTATCTTCAACAGTAGCTGTGGAGTTGGAAAGAATGAGAAAAAATGCTGCAAGAATGCAGCCTTTTTGTCTGTCATTCAACCTCACATACACAGTATCCCTTAAAAAAATACATATTTGGCATGGATTAGAAGAAAAAAAGCTATGAGACCAGAACAGCCTTTCTTCCCTCTTCCATCTCCCAACTTAATGAAGCAATTTCATCTTCTTATGTTCATCTAGAAGTATTTAGTCCTGAAAGTAAATTCCTTTTTTTTTTTAATTATCCACAATCTAGTAATTTACATTATTATTACCTTACATTAACTGAAAAAATTGCTGACCTTTTTTTAGACTTTTAAATCCAACCAGAACTTGATTCAACTTGCCAAGGTATACTGATTTGATTTTGAAAATATCCACCTGCAATACAAAAATAATGAAAATTATATTTTAGTAAAACTTAATATGTATCTGCTTTTGAATATTTATCAGTTTAGCCTTGTGTCTGGTCACCGGTTTGTATCTCAGTGGAAGCAAATTTATATTTAATAGGAAGCAGTTTTGGAAATATCAGATATACACACTAGCTATAGTGCTTCTTTCTAGTACCTTCATGGACTGAACTAAGCAAATCAGATCAAGTACTAGTATGTTGAAAGTTACTTTGATCTAGAACTTAACTTACAATGAAACTGATTAATAGGTGTTTAGTAATTCTGAAAATCTGAAGCAATTTCATTTTCACCAAAATTCACAGCTAATTTAGCAAATAAAGCAACTAAATGGGAATTAAGTGAATGGTATCTGTGAAGGTTTCAACCACTGTGCTATTAGGATAAGGATTCCCATTAAAATCATCTCTATAATAGGTCACATTTTCTACATACAAAAGACTTGAATGATTATTAGACTTCATAGAAACTTTCCTTTTTTCCCTACTGTAAATCTTTATAGTGTATTCACCTCCTTGCATAAGCATGGTAATCTACTTCTTTGTGCAGTCATCTTCATAACCAATGGGAAAGCTCACATGAGTGTGCACACTGATACTGGGAACACACATCATTTCGTGATAGTTGAATTGGGCCTGGAGAAGTGAGGTCTGGAAACATGATTCATTAATGGATTCATCTACTCTTTTGGGAAACCAGCTGTGAAATTAAATCTCCATAGCTAAGACTTTTATTTTGTGTGACTTTATGAGCTATCCTGCTGTAGACAGAAACAGTTGTCTTGGAAAGGTTGCATTGAAAATGCAAGTTGAATACAACAATGGGGACTAGTTTGAAAACAAACAGTAAAATGCTTGCATTGTTCCCATAGTTGTACAGTTCCCAAAATTCACACTGCCTGTGAGAATCATCTTGATGACAAGAATCCTCTAGAAAAAAAAAGAGCAATTACTAAGAACATAACATTAGTCATTTGAGGGAAAATTGGAGTAAAGAAAGCTGTGACAAAATGAACCCAAACGGTTGTTACTTGAAATCTTTTCTATAAGCAGAAGATTAAGGTGTTATAGCCCAGGATATAGAAAACCCCTTTAGAGTTTCACAGGACAGATTGAGCTTCTTGAACAAGCCCTTTCAAAAACTGACACGGAATCTGGATTATACAAAAAAATCCTTGTGAATTTGCAGATGAGTCGCACTTCCACAAAACTGAATATTCACAGAAGTCAAGAGCTATTGTTCACATATTTTTTTCTACAAGTTTTATTTTAGCAAAAACAGAACCATTCTTACAAAATAAAGAATTTTTAAAAAGGTCAGGACAGTTCAGTTTTTTGAAAGAAACAAGAAGCAGTCTTTCTTTCAGTCTGCACTGATACCTTATCCATTGTAGCAGCCTTGCTGTTCAGATTTCTCTAAGGTACTATCCTTAAGACTTACTATATAGGACTATTATCTATATCACCAAAAAGAGTAACCTATAAAATTTCCTACATTAAAAACAAGATGAGCCCTAGTATTCTGTCATCATTAATTTCAGATTTTTCTTGTAAGTCTGAGCTACCAGTTTGATCAGTTCTTGATGAACACGACATTGGGCATGCATATTCTCTTCCAGAATGGAGAAAGAAAATATAGGAATACAGAGGGCATAATGACGAAGGTTTGATTTGTTTTCATGCAACAATACTGTATCTTCCAGAATCTTTCAAAATAGTAAGAAAAGTAGATGAAATAAACAGAGGCATGTACAAAGAATAAATGAAGCATGTTGGAAGCAGTTTTCTCTAGATTTATGCACCAAAGACACTACTCTAGACTGGCTGGCAACAGTGAAATACTGTCTCACGCCCTCCCCAAAAGAAGATTCCTATGTACTTCCCAATGAATTTATGAATTCTTTAAAACAAAAAAATCTTCCAAGCTTAAATTCAAAACAAACAGTAGGGTCTAGTAAAGTATCAGCTAGACATGTCCTGTTGATCTGAAATAGATATTTGCTTTTGCTCTGAAATTTTAGTTACTTTTTTCTTATGTCAATAATCACTCCAGGAATTACTCTTCTAGGAAAAACCATTTAACCTCAAAAAGCAACAACACGTTTACCATGTTTAAAAGCAATAAGTGGGTGGAAAAATTGGAAACATGAAAAAATAAGACTCTCCTTGAAACAGTGACAGTGTTCAGGAAAGTTAACAAGAAGAGGTCATGGACTAGTTTAGATGGAGTGCTTACAAATGCAAGATATCCTAACAGAAACGATATCAGTTCTACCAATCAAGCATATTTTAAAAAGCGATGATGCCTCCCTGGCCTTAAAAATTTGGAATATTGAAACAGAACTCTTAGAGAACCTTTAGTCCAACTCATAATTACTTCATCAGCTTAACTGTTTTACTGTTGAACAATGCTGAAAATACTTTAAAACACCTGTAGACACAATTGCCTCTAAGTTTCAAAATAATATTATGCCTATATGGAATATAAAACTTCAGTATTTTTCATACTCTGTCCATTAAAAGCTTTCTTTAAACATGAGTTTTAACAAAAAGACACTCAAAGATTCAGTTACGTTTTCCCACATTGTTTTACCTGCCCTCTTGCCAAAGTGATCAGGCTCTTTTTCGAGTTAAGCCATCGTTTCCCCGAGTAACTTTTTTCTCCTTGTATGCAAAGATAAACTTCACCAGTGGCATCTGCTTTCTTCAAGTCTCCCGTGTGCAAATGGATTGCATATTCCACAACTTCAATAAAAATAGACATAAAAACTTAAAAAGTCAGCAGGAGAAAATACTCATTCTCTTCTTGCCCCAGACTTGCATTATGTGATGATTCCCAGTAGAAACCATTGCAAATTTCATCAAAATTCCATACTGTATCACAAAACAAGGAGTGCAGGTTTCTTCAGTCCTGGTGACGTACATAACCCAAACATATTCCCCCTGTAAATCTTCCTGTATGGCAACCTGCAGAATACAGACTTGTTCTGCTCTGACACCACTCCCAGAAAATCAGCACTTCTGGCTGCTGTTTGAGGCACAGGATCTCCTGTGTACCGTCCCCTTCTCCCTAAGGTAGAAAATTCCTTTCTTAGAAAAATGTCATGTTTACATCCTCTTTGGAAAGTCTTAGTTCTTCTTTCTAAGACTATTTACTGATATTTCTTTGTTACTTCCTTCACTCTCTTTATTTCTGTTTATCACTAGTCAGACAATAATACTATCACAATAATCTTAAGTTAAAATATGTTAATGGGAAGCAGAAATGATGACATAAAAATGCTTTCAACATTAACTTTAACCCATAAATATAAAAACCTCCACACATTTTGTATCAGACTCCAAAGAACCTTCCATTTATTGCACAGTAACCCATAAATCCAGGTCAACTAAGTGAACTTTGATTTTAAGGGAGAGCATTCATGATTTTCTCAGTTGTGATTGTAGTATAGCGATTAGAAGAGACACCTATGACCCCTATAGGAAGCTTCTGCTTCCTTGCCTCTTTCGGACACAATACATAGGGAAGTGATGCAGATGAGACAAGATTGCATTAATACCAAATAAACTTCATGGAAAACTCCTATGTTCACTTTTTTAATGACCTATTTTAGCTCCAGAGTTTTTCATGGAAACAAGGAACAAGAAAACACTTAAACAGAAACAGGTCATCATCTCAGTATTCATTGTTATTTGCATCATTTTAACAAGAAGGAGACCAGGAAAAAACAAGGGGTTTGGGGGTTTGATTGGTTTTTTTTCCTTCTGGTGTTTTCTGTTCTTATTCAAGTTATAATAAATCTCATTTGTATACTGTGTTCATTTGTATAATGCATTCATTTTTGCTCATTTATGTAATGAACTGGTGCTGTCAATTTAGGAATCTAACATCGGTGGCTATATTAGGAGTAAGATTCTTATGCAGTCAGCAGGGAAAGGCAGGTGCTATAGAAAACACCTATGATGGGTTCTCATATATTCCAGAGATAGACACTAGAAGTTAGGAGTCAGATGGTCTAAATGTTCATCTGCTTCCAACCACAGGCATCATTTCTTCAGCCTAAGAAAAAAAACTATTATTGTGCGCAACACAGGTTTGTAAAACACACCTTCCTAGTATTTTTAATAAGGAGGAAAACATTTTTATCCACTGTAAAATGCAAAGTCACATTTAGGATGCGGGTAATGAGCAATGCACATGTACCAAGAATATATTCAAGAGTGCTTATATTACCTCCTGAAAAAGCACCAAGACAGATTTTTTTTAAGGACTGAGAAGCCTTAAAATCCAACATTTTACAAGTCCTGAGCTATCTTTGACTACCCCTATCAGCCCCAACTCCCACAGCCTTCATCACTGGAGCAGTAAAACATAGACAACATCTAGACTGTGTGACATTTACATGCAGCAGAAAGTCTTCCAGCCTCACTCCACCACTTATTCCTACCTGGAATCTGGTTGGCTCTACAACAACTGCTTTCCCAGGAAAGTCATGTGTGTAAAGAAGGAAAGTGGTGCTTAAGACAGACATGAAACCAAGGAGAAACTAAGAAGCACTTTCAGTTTCACAATTGACAGTACAAGCCAGAGAGCCCTGAAATACACATTGTTTAAGTCTAAAACACATGTTTCAGTCTAAAGCACGTCATAGGATTCATGAATATCTAAGTATACATCCTGGAAACATCTGATATTTTCAGGACATTTTGCTTCTTCAATCAAATTTATTCCAAATTAGAAATGGCCCAATTTAACCAATGTGTGCATTTTTTAAAAAGATGTAATTATAAGAAATTTTTAGTAGGTTTGAGAATGATTCTCTGAACCCAGAAGCTAAAGCTGTCATTTTTTTTTCATGCGTAGGTGATAGGAAAACAGGGAGAAAAAAAATGTTCTGAGGATATTTATTTTTAAGCTTTTCTTACAGCTCTTTTCACAAGTTGGTGCTATTCATATTGAGTGTTATAATCAAAAGGCCTAAATTCAAATATTGTGACATCTTATATGTTTATTTCTTTGTATGTCTAAAATGAAAAGGTCACACAACTGGATTAAGTGTATTAAAGAGTGGGTTTGCATACTGACTGTAGAATTAATATCTAAAAGTATGCATTTAATAATAAGGGCTGTTATCAGTCTGCTAATAAAAGTGTGCTCATTGCAATAAACTTCTGAAATGTCTTTGTTTCTCTTTATCTTTTACTACAGGGGGAAGAAAGTCTGAGAAAATCTGTTTGCTGAAAAGTAGCTTTATTCACTGCAGCATTATTTACTTCAGGGACTCCCCCTGGGATTTTTTCTTTTTTTTTTAATAATTTAAACTAAGGACTGGGAAAGTACTTGCAATTGATAGTATCACTCAGGTTTGATGATAAGAAGTAAAACAAGAATTTTCTGAGACTGGGTCCTAACATATCGTGCACTGCCAGGTGAGAGGCAACCCAGCTCCATTAAAGTCAGTGTAACTACACAGACTTGCTTTTGCTGGAGTTCCAGATAATTGAAAGCTGTCCAGGTGACACCTGAGCACTTAACCAATGGCATTTTTGCTTTCAGGGGAGTTGGGATATGAAGGTGAGATTCTGAGTTATTTGTCTAGAATGTTGCCTTGTCTGTATAATTGGGCCACGTGAGCAGATTCATTGGAGTCAAAAGGATACTTGAGTGAATAAGATCAAAAGAATTTGGTCCACAGGTCTGATCACTCAATTGGAGTGGATTAGAAATCACAGCACTCACGTTTTTATTGCTTTTGTCCAGAATCATTGGTATATGTAAACACGAGCTTAGCATCAATCACACAAGTAATATTGAAACGAGATAGACTCTGAAAGTTAAGAATGTATCTCATGTTTTTGCTGAGTCAGTATTTCCAGCTGAATCTGCTGAATCTATTGATGCATAATATAAAGCTCAGTGTATTCATAGCAAATATTTCCCATTAATTTTATACCATAAAAGTGAAATAACAGTATACAAACTAACCCCTATGAAAGGAGTCATAAGACAAAAGAGATGTTTGGAAATGGGGTAATAGTTTTTAGAATGAGTTTGGGACCATTCTACCAGATGAACAACATACCAAAGCAACAAAGATCTACTAAGACAGCTGTTTTGTTCAGCCTTGTCATTCTTTGTCTCTTCCCAATCCTATTGATAAAGCTCTGTTTCAGATGTGAGCCAACACAGAGTGAAACTTAAAATGATCACCTAATGCTCATTTAAAAAGGGAAAAAAATCACTATAAACTAAAGATAGGAGAGAAAATATTTTTCTTTTCTGTCTCTTTTTTTTTTCTTTTTTTTTGGGGGGGGGGAGGGTCTAGGAATGAAACTGAAATATAAGGAAGAAGCTGACATAAATTTTAGACTGAATTAGTATTGGGATCTTGGAGAATGAAACTGATATTAACACCTCCACTTGGAGATCTCTGGACTCCACAAAATAGTTTGTGAGAAACTTCCTAGGTTAGCAGATACTTCCATCTATGGAATCATTTTTGAGGGAAAGCATATACACATCTATTACCACAAGTTTTCCAAGAAAAACACCCTAATTTTCTAATGTGCCTCAAAATTAATTGCTGTACACATCAGAATAATGTATCTGGTTCTTAGTATAAAAGAGACTTTGAGGGCTGTATTCTAGAATTTTTTTTAAATTATTTATTTCTGGAATTTTTATATGCAGTTAAACATTTACCAAGTTTGCATCCAGAAAATAATTATCAATATTTATGATTTGTCCCATTTTTTTCATAAATAAATTAGGGAAATAGAGCTTTTTAACAAGCTTTAGAATTACTATTACTTACAATTCATGATTATTCATCCAACATATAATACATCCAACATCCAATGGTTTGGGGTTTTTTATGTGATGGATCAAAACTCTAAAATTGTAAGACTTTTCAGTAAATGAACACAATGTGGCTAACTTTTTCTAATTATGAAAACAAACACTAAACCAGAAATTTGAAAGGTCTTCAGTGTTTTTGTTCAAGTTTCAACTTTAAATTTGATGAAATATTTAGGAAACATTCCTTAGAGAATGGAATGCCAAAGTTCACGTGGCCTATTTTATTCCTTTTTCTGGGCTGCTTTCACCTTTTTCTATTAGTTTCTGTTAAAGCAGAGCACTTTTCGTACCATAACCTCTAGCAATAAACCTCTTAGTGGCACTAAAAGCTCCAATATACGATCTTTACTATCCCCATCAATCCTCTTTATTCTAATGAGCTGGATAGACGGGAAGCCTGTTCTTAAGATCTTAGTGATCAAGTTATCAGTATGCAATTGGTTGTTCCTCAGCATATTCCAGGAGGGGGTGGCAGAAAGCACTTAATCATCTCTCTGGCATCATACCATTCGCATGTGCTACTAATATGCAACTTAATATATACTTTTGTAGAATATTACTTACTGGACTATAAATTTCTCATTGGCACCAATAAAAAACACTAGTGCAATTGAAATTCTTGGATATCTCTTTGCTGGCTAATTGCAACACATTTTAAGAATTCTACCTTTGCTTTGTAGGGGATCTGCAATTCTCTCATTCTTAAAAAGTTTGCTCTGCTTCTAGGTCATGTATATTTCTTTGTGAATCGGAAGATACAGGTAATATTACAGAGTAGATGACATTTTGTACACACCTTCACCTGACACTGCATTAATATAAAGAGACAATAAATAATCAAAAGCTAAAACTGGAACATCATTTAACATGAAAGAAGCCAAATACTATGTTTGGTGTCAACAGTTAGAGAATCTGTCATAATCCTCCTACTAATGATTTATGTTTTCTCAGCTTTCTTTTGTGATAAATGCAGGTATAAAATCATTATATTCCTTAATATCAAATACTTATGGAAACCCTTACACAGTATTTTAGGCCCAAAAGAGATATACTGGTATTCTAGAGACAGATCCTGATCCCAGTTACAATAAAGGACATAGCTTACCAGGCAAAGGCTCCTGATCTGCATAGAGAGCTGGCAGTTCCACACATTTCTCTTCCGTAGGGTTGAACCAGCAGTCAAAAGCTAAATACATTTCTTCCTTTGTGCCTGTGTGCTTCATATGCAGGAAATCTAAGTGCCATGGCTGTTTTAGCTCACTATGTGGGCCAGTTACCTGAACTTTGTATATTGAGCCAATATCTGCCAGTTCATCCTATGTGAGGAGAAAGAGAAGATGAATGGATCTCATTTTAATTGTGCCAGAGCAAATGTAGTTGGTAACTGTATGCAACAGTTAAAAAAACTTCAGTAGTTAAAGAATTGGGGCAGATTTACAACTAGTACTATTTTTCTTCTTTCTAATCAATACAAAATTGATTTAATAATGTGAATGAGGAGATGAAATGCTTGGGGTTTGATATCAGGGAAAAAGCAATAACAGTCACTGCTAAAATTTGTACACGGAACAAGGCACAGTGTTCATATATATTACACTGATTCAGTAAACTATTTTCAGGCACAGAAGCTTTGGTTGATTTTTAAAATTTTGAACACTATTGGAAATATTTCTTACAACTTGTAATATAAAATTGGTGCAATTAACTATAAATTTGAAGGAGAGCTAATCTAATTTTAAGGAAAAATCAAAAAAAATCCTCCATCTTCACTCTAGATCATACTCTCATATAGAAGCTCTGCATTAAAATCTTGCATTCATGCTTGAGAAAAAAATTCTAATTCTACTGGAGATAATACAGGATCTCTATGACATACCATTGCTTGAGTAAGTGAAGGTAGAGGAGGCTTTAGATACTGTAATTATTGACTTAAAATTATTTTTTCCCTCTATGAGTGGAAAAAAAGGGAGAAAACAGAAGTTGTCTTTTCCTCTTCCTATTCACTGTTTCTCATATTCTTTCCTCTGCTCTTTCATTTCAAATACTGCCCAGGTAGTAGAAGTGCATGTGACTTGACTTCAGCCTTTTCTCTGACAGGGCACTTCCAGTTTCACACTATGTTTTTGTATTTACCAGAGATTCTTGGAAAAAACTTAGGAAAACCTTATGAGTACTCTTCATTTTGGATCTTTTTTGTAGCTAATCTAGTCCGTTTAGTTCCTCTTTCGTTAAAGAAATGTGGAACTTCAAAACCCAGACAATTATTTCTCAATCAAGACAAATATTAGCTCAATCACCAAGAACAAAAACAAAGTGATAATAATAAAAAAAACAACACAAACAAACAAACAAAAACCACAAAACAAAAACCTCCAACCACAAACAACAAAAAAAAAACGTTAGAAAAAGCAGTTTGTTCAGAGAAACACAGTGGCAGGGATGCATAAGTTACATGAAAGAGAAAATTAAACTTTCTGTAGGTTTCATCCCATTTATCATAGAATCACAAAATCACTGAATATGATGAATTGGACAGGATCCATAAGATCATCGAGTTCGGCTCTTATGCCTGCACAGGACCATCCTGAAGAGTCACACCATGTGCCCAATTGTCCAAATACTTCTTGAAGTCTGTCAGGCTTGGTGCTGTGACCATATCCCTGGGGAGCTTGTTCCAGTGCCCAACCACCCTCTGGATGAAGAACCTTTTTCTAGCATCTAACCTAAACCTTCCCTAACCCAACTTCAGGCCATTCCCTTGGGTCCTATCCCTGTTCCCCACAGAGAAGAGACTCCTCTGAAGAGTCTGACCCTTCTCTTCCCCTCATGAGGAAGCAGTGATTCTTCCTTCTCCATCATCAGCTCCAAAAGCTCTAAAGTGCATATTGTATGCTTACCAATTGCTTACTTTTGTGAGATCAACAAAGCCTGTGAATCAGTACATGCAGCATGGTATATACACTGTGATATGCACCAAGAGACCAATTTGCTTACTTAAACATTCTCAGTATGAGACACCGGGAGGATCTGCTCATTCAAAAACCTTGTTAAAATGTTGCTATCTACAAACAAAAGTGATGACCTGTGCCAAACCACACAGAGGACTTAAAAATCAATTAGGTAGTTTAGTTTAAAGAAACAATTTATCTCAGAATTAAGTGGGTTATTTGCTACATGATTCATAGGCTTTTCTTGCAATAGAGAAGGGTTGAAGTACTTTGATCTGCGTTGCTTTCCCCGTGACTTGAAGTGGGAACTTTTTGCAGCTCAGGTTGCCGTAAAAGATAAAAGAAAGGCATATTGGATCCTCCTCATTGCTCAAGTCGGATCCAGTGATATCCATTATCCAGAGACCAGATGGTTTCATGTTGATTTCAGGCAGTTTAGGACTAAGAGTCAATCTTCTACCTTTAAAAATTAACAAAGAGAAAGAAAATATAACAGCATGAGAGAATGGCATAATCTAGCAGGACCATAGCCTTTACGGTACATAAGCAAAGCTTCTTTTGCAGATTTTGTTGTATCTATAGCAACTGTTCACTAAGAATAACACATCAATAGCTTTTTTTTTTTTTCCAAGAATTTAACTGCTTAATGTTCTTTCTGTGTTTTGAATTTAGTTTCAAAGGCATTTTTTGGATGCCAATGTATTTTCCACGTCATGTTTGGAAGTAATTGCTACGAGAACATTCCGTTACCTTTTAGAGGTCTAAGCAATTGTTCTCAAAAATGCAATCAATGTTACTAAAACTAATTTATCATTTAGGGGCACCAGCCAAATGTAGCATGTAGGCACCTAATGCAAAATGAACAATTCTAATGAACTTCACTCATAACTGGATCTTACCCAGCAGTATAATATGTACTGTAATGGTGTGACTGACAGATAACCTATAATAAACACACAAAATTATTTGCCAGATCCTCAGAAGATCAATATTACCATCTCCCTCTCTTTTTCTTCATTAATTACTGTTATTCTTCATTTTAGTTCTGTTTTAACCATTCGGGAGGAAAGGAAAATGATTTAATGGAGAGGAACAGCTCAGAAAAATGTACTTTCTACAACCCAGAAAAACCACACTACTGAATACTTGCATATCTATCGTGGACACCTTGTGTTTTTAAGCTATCTTACTCCCTCTGGACAAACTTTTGTATCTCATTTTCTTTGCACTGAATTGTTTTCGTAGGATTGAAGGAAGAAATTTTTTACTAGTTCTAAAAGACTTAAGGTCTTGCTATAGGTGTTCTTTTGCTAAGTACATCCAGGTTTAGATTTGCACAAATTGTGGTGTAATGGTAATTTTGAAATGAGCAGAAACTGAGCATACCAGAACTACACCTTTGTGCTGTGGAATAATACCACAGGTATTATTCCTATTATTATAGGCTCATTTCACTCACATCCAACTTTTCTTTGGATTTCAAATAAGATCCCAAGCTGAAAAGTGATGAATAAAATTTAAGCTATTTATCCCCATGAGGTGCACATCCCAAGCTCCGCTTTATATCTCTCTTTGCAATGTTCTATATTTAATTTGGAAAGCAAGTGTTTCATACACAGCAAATTGACAAGATGGAATTATATTAACTTTTTCCTTACCAGATGAGGCTTTGCTATAACACTAAGAACAAACTAAAATTCACATTTTCAATAAAATGAGCATATTATAGAGGTCTGAAAGAGCTGTAGGAAAACATATATATAGAACAGTCAAATCAGTTTTGAAGAACTTACCAGTTGTTACAACCTCACAAACAGTGTCACATAAGCCCAAATGGGTATCAAGCCAGTTCCACAATGGAAAGACCCATTCTTTGTCTGAATCTTGTGATTCCTTGACTGTTACCATCTTGAGGTACAT